TCTGCCTTCCACAGAGTTATGTTTTATTTATAAATTACATTAAAGTTACAGAGTGATTGTCATGGACACCCGCGCAGGGACTGGAAAGGAACATTTGTGAGAAAAGAGTTGACAATCTCCTCAAGTTAACCCATGGGATTCTTCAGTGCTCAGTATCCTGCATCTTTAAATGTACTTTAAGGTAAACATTCATTAGTTGCACTTCTAACAACATTATTGCTTTATCATTACTTTGTTACAGCTATGGCTTGTTTAGATGTTGTATACATTATACACCCATCTTTTAAGTTAAGTCAAGTAAATGGAAATATTTCAAACAACCTCCAGGATGAAGATTGCTTCAGCTCTCGAAGCACACTTTGCTCCTGATTATTAAGGACAGATCTTTTTTTTAGCCCCTATCAGTTCCAGAATTGGCATTAATGGGCACCAAGCAGCGTCAGTAAGAGCTGTCTTCCTCTATCACAGACCTCGATAAAGGTGCCTTTATTTCCATGACAGCTACTGCAACTTCCTTGGCTACAGCTTCTCATGTGCTGCCACTGAAGATAAAATAAGCTGTGGTGAAGGAAAGGTTTAAGCAGATCTTACTTACAGATTTGACTGAGAGCAAAAGTAGAAAAGTAGTAGTGTCATTAAATAAAATATAAGTGTCAGTTTAAAGTTGGAAGTTAAGACTGGTCCCTCTGCAAACACCTGAAAATATCACCCTGGATTTTGTATGTGGAGTCTGTTGTGAAATCATTAAAAATGTACACAGACCACGCTTAACTTTGTCTTTGGAGACAGGTGTAAAAGCATGTTTCCTACTAAAATCATACAGATTTACATTTTCAGATCTCCTTGCACAGATTTGCAGAAAATCAGCCTTCTTCACTGTAGAGGAAAAAATGGTATCACCAACTAAGGTAATCGAAAACAGAAAAAGAAAATTGCTTTTGTTGGGTGACTGCTGCCACAAGTCTTCTCTCATGTCTTTCCATCTATAGGAATTGAATGGAATGTAGCACAGTTTAGAAGGGGTCTTTAATTGATTTGCAGCCACTAAAGTTCTTGAAGAAACAGCACATCACCAAAGTAAACATGAATAGATATGATTCAGTTGCTATCCTAACATTTACCCCAGCATTTCATTTTGAAAGACAGGATAACTCACAACCAATGATTTAATTTTTTTCATAACAAATATTAAATCTTAAATCAGTCACTCATACAACTTCTTACGCATTATACATATTATAAAGAAATCCAAAACATGTCAAAATGAAAAAATTGTTTTGCAGGGCTTTAAAGAAGGGCTTTGATATGTGTTTTAGATATTTACTAATTTCTAAGAGCTGCCATTTTTATGAGGTGTTTAACTGAACCAAGTCATCTGCTCTAAGGCCATAACTGCCTTTGAGAGTAGAGAATGTTCAGAGACCCATCAGTATTCAAAGCACAGAAGGAATACTAAATCTTATGATACTGGGCATTATTTCCACTTCCACACTAGGTCATACAGATTGAATCCCCATGGGAAACCCTCTTTTTAATCATTCTTAGCCCTCTCTTAACACGCAGACCACGATGGCTCCACAATTGAGTTGTGAACAATTTACAGACTGTTTTGGGAACCAGCATCACCTTTTTACACATCAGCTAAAATGTCTACGCGGGACATTCGAATAGGACAAGCACTCTCCTGTTTTCAATCTCTCCTCCTCCAGTTAACTCTTGACAATTTTGTAATTCCTTCATAGGTTATGAAAAGCATTAAATCATTAACCAGAAATTTTAACTTTTAATGTATACTTTTACATGACATTCCTTCTCATAATCAGTGAAGCACATGCTGTGCAGTGGATTATATTCTCATGCTTTTTCCATTAAAAATTCCATCTTAAATCATTCCACAATATGGTCTCTTGCACGACTCAGGAGTATTGCAATCTGTGTCTTACAATCCTTATCTAACAACTGCATAAGTTTCGACTTTTCATCTCTTATGGTCTTTAAATCTTTCCCCTTTACTAGGGCTCATTTTTAATATATTGCAAATGAAAAGTGTCACCCAACACATACCGAATTTTTCTACCATACATTAATTACAGAAAGGAGCAGGAAACTAATAAACTATTACAAGTGCCTGCTGGGAGGCATCTAACACAAAATGCAGCATTTCCTGCTATACTCCATACCAAACTGAAGACTGGGTGAGTGCCCTTTAATATTTCATGCTCAGGCTTGGGGTGTGTTCCTTAGCTGCCCAGTTTCCATGGCAGAAAGCGAGACTCCATTCCCACCAGCTGTTCCACAGGCTCTGACCGTGTTTTTGTGTCTCTTCTTCCCTTCCTCTGAAGGACTTATATTCCATACACCACCCACACATGATTGGGCAACAGTCACAGGCACAAAATTTAGATTCATATCTGAACAGCCTCAGAGTCTGCAAATCTATGAACATTTTGGCTCAGGATGATCACGTACGTTATAGAACCAGACTTATTTTTCTCTCTTTACAGAGCAAGAAGCATACAGCGCAGGGAGAAGCTATGTGACTACATTACAAAACTGATAAAAGATGCACTAATTGCCAAATGTTGTACACACTGAGGAAATTTTCATCCTAACCGTGGGGCTAATGGACACACAGATCTTGTTGCTTGGCTCATAAAACAATATTTTTTTCATGTTGAACTCTGACCAATTTTTTTTGGTTCGTTGCAAATTCAATGACCTTCTCTTTGTATTGGACAATAGGAATCAACCTGCCACCCCTGGCACCAAAAAGAAAGAAAAACTAGTTGACCTATTTATAAATAGCTGCTTATTCCGAATGCTGAGGTTGCTAGTGGGATCAGGTGTTGGTCGTGGGGCTGAATGCCTTACTCTCCTTGGAGATTTGCTGGGTGAAGTGACATGCAGAAAAATCTGTGCCATCTTCCCACCAAAACCCTGAGAGGTGCAAAGACAGGCAAGATGTCACCACTCCATGGTGAGAAACACCACACTGTACTGTCCCCATGCAGCCACAGATAGAAATCCCAACCGGAAAATTACTCTAAAAGTAAATTGAAATCTCCACGTTTAATTATCCTGTGATGTCTGTGTGCCTCAGTGTGTTCACATCAATAAAGTTCCAAGACAAAATAAAGAAGAGTATTAAAACTTGGGCTTCAGGACTGAAAACACCACTACTGTTGAACTGTTTTGTGGCTTTAGTCCAAGCCCCTTTAGTCACTTGTAAATTCCAGGTGAAGAGAGTGGGAAGCTGAGATTATGTGTCTAACATGTCTAAAGGTTTTTCACATAAAATTTCAATCTTTGAGAAATAGTCAATAGTCCTTCTGCTATTTAATGAAAAATGTTTCAAAACAGTATGTATACCTTGTTGTTGAGTGACATAACACAATGTAATCCATGGAAAAAAAACAGCATTCTTCAATAGTAATCACTGAAATCCCTTTACTATGAACACTTTCATCAATCTAAGAAGTGTAACAGAACAGAGTTCTGCTGTCACTTGAAAGTTTCTAAATTCTAAGAGTTACTTTTACCAAAGAAACCCAAAGTGGTGACTTCCAGAAGACTTAGAGAAGATTTTTACCCAGGCTTTGCATTATAATAAACTGTCTATGTTAATATGCAAAAAAATCCTTTTGAAACAGCACGCTGGAAGCAGTGGCTGTCAGGAACTGTAAGTGATAACTCACCCCTCTACTACTGGTACCTAACAGGCAAGAAATTGGATATTAAATGTGGTCAGCTAGCTTCAATATCCCAGCAGTATTTCTTTTGTCAAAATGATCTGATAACAGGGAAGATTCATACTTTAAGCTAAGTTGTGTGCTTCATCTCTCAGCAAATTCAGTGCAGAATGACAGATTCTGCTGAAGGAGGATTTGAAGGACCAAAGCTACGAGCCTCTCTCTCTGTGGACTCTGTATTAAGGTTAGTTTCACTGTAAAAGTCATGTATGTGGGAAACTGTCAGTCAGACCTTTCCTCCACATCCACAAAAACTAAAATCACATATTTGATTTGATTTGAGAGACCAAAGATCCCAACTAAGGTCAGCATTTCTTCCACACACTATAAGCGTATTAGATAGTCCTAATGTATATCATTCTGAAGTTTGTGAAACAGGGAAACATATCAGATTATTATACATGCATTAACACCTACAGGCATGTAAAAATAGCTTTAAAAATACTTTCATTTGTCAGATTTTCAATAAACAAAATATTTCATTTAACACAACAGAATTTACATTATGGTTTCCTTTTATGTTCGGTCTCTGAAACACAAATAAAATTTCAGGCATCTGCTTTGTCTGCCCAGTACATTCCCAATCTCCTTTAATATTTTTATGTTCACTGGTTCTCAGATTTCTCTCTTCTTCGTTTTTCTTTTATAATCCAGGATGCAATTACTTCTCAGCTGATACTGCAACTCTGAAGAAAGCAATCCCTCTTTGTAAAGTCTGGCTGAAGCCAAAAATAGCTCTGTCAGCTTCTGACAGGCTGAACTTAGCCAAGTGAAATGTTTTAACATTTTATCAACTTAATGAACAGTCTTATTTATAATGTGGACAACTTTACTGTCATTATATGCAGACTGCTGAATAGATTATGGAATGCATTTGTTTGGGGAAAGCTGAATATATTAAGAAATAAAATGCAATTGTCTTATATACTGTAAAAAATTTTAAGATTAAATATTCTTTGCCCATTTGAAATAAAGAAGTGGCTTAATGGTAACATCCATAACTATAAAAACACCTGAAGAATCACAATGACAAATAACTAACCTCCAAATCATGAACATTTGCAATGTGCAAAAATTAACATTACAAAACTCTACAACCAGTTTAAATATTACTGCTAATGTAACACTGGAAATAACTATGTAGACTAAGTAGATGCAGAGACCTTTAGTACTTATAGTAGAGGGGAAAAGTTAAAAATACAAAATAAGAAGTCTAACAGAAAAAAAAAGCATGGGTTAACAATTGCTTACCCTCTTTTCTGCTACCTCATCCTCTCCTGTAGACTCTTTGCCATCATGTTCATCTCTCAGGGTTGGCATATGCTTTTTGTGTGCTGGCTCTCTGTTTAAGGTTGTATATCCTACGTGTTCATAAATTGGATTAATTGTCATCTTGGAAATGTATTCAGCTGCCTTCGTTTCAATATAAAGAGTAATCAATCCATCTGTCACCAGGTCATGGATGGACTCAAAACGTTTCTCCCCAACAAAGTGTTTTCCATCGTAGTAGAGTCTGAAGTTTCTGGTTTGACTTCCAAATCTGCCTCAATGAAATGGGAAAGTTGTTTTTTTTTAAAGAACAGTAAGCAGAATAAATAAGAGTAAGCAAGCCTTTGCAAACAATTAAAAACACTTTATCACTTAAAGCTGTGACTATGCTCTGTGTCTGGTCCAACTGAGCTGGAGAACTACTACTTAGCACAGATAGGAAGGAGAGATCAACAACAACTGCAGATAGACAGCCAAAACAGTTACTGTCCCAGAAGGAGCTGTTTGTTCTTGTATTCTTTTAGCCTTTCCATTATCTATGGAAAAACTGAAAAATTACTTCACACTCTTTACGGCTTTTTTTAGTGCTTCACTACTTTATCACTGTAGTCAATTTGCTTGGCTCTGATATGAAGAGGTCTCATAATAGAGTCCTCTGTTACAGCCGATCAATACGGAGTTCTGATGCTGTCTTGGACCTCTGCTCCCCTGCTCGCTTGCAGGAAGGGGCCATTCAAGGTTCAGCTGAGCTCCAGTGCCAACAATTACACTGAAGCAGAACTGCTGCCAGAACTGGAGCAGCACAGGACAAAATGGCACAAGGGCAAGCATTCTTTATTCCTGGCCAAAGGCCCAGGACTAACTCTTCAAGCTTTGTACAAAAGTCCTTCTGTGTTATGCTTGTTAAGTCTTAAGCTTCAAGCAAATCTTTGTAATATACAGGATATATAACACGAAAGCTATCCAACAGCAGCCATCCTGCATCACGATGGAACAGCATTTTGATACAGGCTCTTAGCAACCATAAGAATGCTGAATTTACCTGAACAGTAGCATATTTTTAAAAACTGCACTTAGAATCTGTAACCATTTTCTGCCTCAAAGCAGTCTAAACATGAAAACACACCAGTGTTTGCACTTGGCAACATTTCCTGTGGAGAAGATGGAGGCAAGAAGCTGCTTTCACAGCTCATTCCAGTGCTATTCCTTGGTCAGACAGCAGCGAGGGTACTGGGCCCCCTTAGGAGGTCAGATGTGCCAAATAAGTATTAAGAACTAAATTTGAAAGGATGGATTGGTTTCACTTTACAATCAAATGCTTCATTGGAGATGTTAAGGAACGCAGTAAATAATATTTTGCTGAAGTGGCTCCTCTTCTCAGTGGGGCCTTGCCAAACAGGGGAAAGCATAATTTTAGAGCTTGCCTCAGGTGAAATATTGCATTCTTCCTGCAAATATGGACAAAAATTACAAGGTTCTGGAATCTGTATTTTTTTCTCTGTTCTACATCAAAATGCCAAACCTTCCCATCACCCTATCAATAGTCTGACAGTGACTGCAACTGCAGAAGCTGCTATTTCTACATAACACTCAAATGTAAATGGAATCTGCATCCTGCTCAGTAAGGAAAGAGGCCACAACGTGTAGGAACTACGTGGGCATTTTCCTGTAGATTAATTGGTACTTCCATGAATATTTTTATTCCACACAAACTAAAAGTTCATTGAATCAAACACGAGAAATTACAAAATGACAGAAAGAAATAAGTTTTTACCCAGTGCCAATTTCATCACAAGATGCAATTCTGAGTCAATACAAGTCATCCAGAAAGCAGAAAGATAATGTCCTAAGTTATAGCAGAAGGGGTAAATGTATTCAGACTTACTTTTCAGGGCACCTTTATACTCAGCACAGTGTATGGCAAACAAGCTTTGACCACAAGATGTCCTCTTTATACACCCTTGACTGTCAGAGAAGTCCACCTGAGCCAAGAGTGCTCAGCACTTTGCAGTGCCAAAGTGAGCAACCTTCATGGTCATCGGCTCAAGACAGTGGGAATAATGCACATTGAGCATGTACAAGCACCTTGATGGCTCTCACTTCATTAGGACAACCAAATAAGTTTGAAGGTGAAGAATAATGGGCCTTAAATGATAATATATACATTAGAATTACTTTTATTAAGAGATGCAGGTGAACTGCTGTTCTAATCAGTAAAATCAGCTCTGACTACTTAAAGCAGAGTTTTAAGTAAGCTGGAGATCACTTATTGCTCTCAGTTTTCTAGAAGAAAAAGTATTACACCAATTTTATCAAGAGAGGATAAGGCACAGAAAAGCATCATAAGGTCTATTACTAAGTACACATAGCGTCTTGATTTTAGCAACATCTCTCAAAGTCTAAAACCAGTCTTGTTACGTTCTGAAGTCTTGTTCTGAAGAACAAGATGACCAAATGTAGAAAACAAACTGAACTTTTTAAAAGATAGTTGTCTTTCCTTCAGGGTCAGAGGGTGTGCCCTCCTATCCCAGGAATGTTTTACTGAGCAGCCCCTATGCTGCAGATCTGTTCAGACTGCTGCACATGAAGTGTGTTGTTGAGAGATACTATAAGGAAGAGAGTTTCCAAGAGATGAATGGTTTGGCTTTATTTAATTTCCCATTTGCTTCAAATCAAATTTTTTCTCTATTCCTTTCTAATTGGCTATGTTGTGGAGAAAGGTACTGATTTTCAAATAGAATCCTACTAGTAACAAGGAGATAAACCCCACAAATCAATGAAACACCAGTCTTTTACAAAGACTACTGTCAATAATGTGTCTCAGAATCCTGTTTTATTTCTTTCAAACTAATTTAAATTTTTTCCTGACCACACAATGACACTATTTTTATCAAATTAGAATATGAAAAACAAACACACATGTTTAATTGAAAGCTATTAATAAAGATTTAATCTTCAGTCTTTGGTCTAACTTAAACCCATGGTTTAAATTTTTCCATTAGCAAGACTATTTCCTTATGTTTACTTTCTGTAACATTCCTGCAGCCTAGTTAATTATACATCACCGTGGCAACTAAGTAGAGCCAAGATTTGATATTTCAACTTCCTGATGCTCTCCTCCTAAGGGCAAGTACTAGTACCAGCTGTTTTTTGTTTAATAAGTAGAAAGTGGGACACAGATAAAGTATGTTCTCTTTTGGTTTATACAGGGCAACATTAGATGTTTTTCCAAGAAAAAGAATTAGACCTCTGACATGTCAAACAATCTCATTGTGTCCACTGTGCATTTGTTTGCAAGCAGCAGGGACTACAGATAAAATACTTTTTTTATTCCAAGTTGTCTAAAAAGCAATCACTGTCTAGTTCCTTTGGTTGCCAGTGGGGCAGAGCAGATACCGTAGGAAAATGCATTAAATGGTAGAGAAAATGTGGCTGTAATAAAGCATAATAAAGGACCAGGGGTTGAATTAGGTATCATACCATGAGAGACAGGCCTCAGAATCAGCCACCTACCTGTATGCAGCATTCAGTAAAGAAACAAAAGGAGGAAGTGAAGAATTGAGAGCACAGACACACTCTTACCATCTGAGAAGATGAATTTTATAGTCCACACAAAGAATTGTACAGTAGCTATTCACCACTTTCTCAGGCTATTTTATGATGAGAATAATTTCTAGACACAGGCATTGTTTAGAATGCATAGCTGCATGACATTAATACTCCTCAGGACTACTTGCGTCCTTAGTTTCAAGCAACTTCATACACTGAACTGGGAAAAGTGAAGGCTGAGCCTAAACGTTACTTGGACTTAATCTTCCCTTGGAGAAAGAGTCTTAATATGCTTTGCAGCCAGAGGGCAGAAGTCTTTCTTAAGATTAGGTGCCAGAATTTCAGCTCTATCTTCTGAAAACTCTCCACCAACACTTATGACTAGAGTCTTGACACCACATGAAAAGCCACAGGAATATAAGGACTCTTAGAATCACAAATGTCTCTTAATCATGCTGTGTTCTTAGGAGTGAAAACAAATTATTCCACACATCCTCTTTTGGCCCATTTCCCTGTCAAAGAAAGACAAGCTTTGCATACAGCCAAAAACTCCTCTACACAATTATCCCTGAAGGTCTCCAGCTCCTGAGAACAGCAATTTTTTTTTTTTTTTTAATATTCATTGGCAACAACATTTCTGCTGATGGCCAGGGAACTGCAGAACTTGCCAACTTCCCAGAATACCTGCTTGACAGATAACATCCTTTTCAAAACCTGAGCAGTATTTTACAAGAACACAATATGTATAAATGAAATCAAATACATTAGGGGTTGATACAAATGGAGACAGAAAATCCTTGCTGATACGGTTGGGAAGGGTGTCAGAGTACTGTCACCATGGATAGTTTTACAGAGCTATTTGGAAGGGCAGTACTGGCTAGCTGACTGTTGCTTGATGAACATTAATTTAGTGTAAAGTTTTTCCTAAAGCCTGGTAACACCTATGCTGAATGCACAATACTTTAGTTCAGCATGGGAAAGGTAAGGCATCCTTCAAAAGAGAAAACAGATCTTAGACCTGGTACTGTAGCCTGTCTATCCCCTGACAATGCAGACACAGCATTTGACTCCCTCTGTCTAACCTGGATCAAACAATAAAGTTCAGAGCTTGTACAGTATCACTGATAACATCTTCCCAGTAGTCTCTCTCAACTGAGGCTGAAGACATTACAGCCCAAACTCCCTTGTCCAAGACGGAAAACTGTACTGCATAAATAAAGTGCCAAGAGCAGGCAGTGAGGATCAGAGCACTGGCACTTCCCTGTGGATCCTAAGCACTGTCAGGGACAAACCAACTGCTCTAGGGCATCAGCAGTAGGCAACAGATGCTGAAAACAATGAAGAAAAAGTGTTATCAGCCCTTGGTGCCTGTAATAGAGCATTTCATAAATAAATCTAACAAAATTAGAGAAGAATTTCATTGCTTTAATGTATTATTTTACCATTGACAGCTGATTTTCACCATCTTAGAATTTTGAAGAAATGTCAGCTGATCAAGTACTATGTATGCTATTAATATGCAGTAAGACCACTCAGTACTTAAGGTAAATGTTACTTGATCAGGGGTAAGCAGCTGTAAATAATCTGTTTGGCTTGAACATATGCATTACCTCTTAGTACTGTGTTTGCATGCCTTATTCCATTTAACATTATATAAATTGCTGGGATTGATTTGATGATTGAATCAGAATCAATACCTATGTTTTGGGCAATGTTTTCCTG